TATCGGAGGATGATTGTATATTTTTAAGCATACATTTAGTGGTAATTACAATAACAAATAATGTTTATGACATTTTTTAACATTTAAATATGAAAGAGTACTAGTGATGATAGTATCATTTTTATGAATACATTAATTGATATTATCGCATGTACCTGTGAAACAAATATTATATTAAAATCGTATTATATTCAAGCATTAGATACATGTTGGATGAGTGGTTATGTAATTTGATTTCAAACTAAGAGGCGGTGGTATCGGTTTATTTCCAAAAAATGTTTAGCACTCCTCATCTGAGTCAATGTAACTCTCTGAGTTACTTGAGTTTTAGTAAAAAGGCAAAACGAAAACAAAAAAAAAACTAACAAAAAACTGCAAAAAAAACCGAACCGTAAAAAACCGCAATAAAAACCGCAAAAACCGAACCGCATAAAAACCGAACGGTGCGGTTTCTAAAAATTTCAAAAAACCAAAGTTGCGGTTTTCGGTTCGGTTTTAGCCAAAAACCGCACCGAACCGCACCATGCTCACCCCTACCTAAAATTTTATAATTCCTTTTATTCAAACAAACCCTACGGGTGATCGAAAGTTTAACACGTAAACATATTTAATAAAACAATAAAATGTTATATAATTTAAACTTTGTATATTACTCTTTTATGATTTAATAAAAAATAAAAAATAAAAACTTTTCATTTTAATTACAATGTATTTAAAATAAAAATAAAGATTATGACAATGTTCATATATAAATAAGTCAAGATGGTTTCGTGGTGTAGTTGGTTATCACGTCAGTCTAACACACTGAAGGTCTCCGGTTCGAACCCGGGCGAAGCCAGAGTTTTTATTTTCAAATCTTTTTTTTTTTTTTTTCAAAACGAGCACGTGACTCGTGAGTCATCATCCATGACTCACCAAAGTGATTCGCCACGTCAGCCAGCTGGTAAAGTAGATTCTGTATCTGGATTGGATAGGGTGCACCCCGTGTGGGTTAATTCACGCCACTCGTACCTCAAAACGATATCCATTAACCCACTTGTCTGTCCATTACGACATCGTAAAGTCGACCAATCCTTTCTAACACACACCCTAATCTCATAATCCCCACACAAAAAAACCAACGAAAACTCCCATTCACCTCGCAATGGCTGCTGTTCCGATCACTTGTGTTAAGTTCACGACTTCTTCCATGCACACCAATCAGGTCAACTCTTTGACTTCTTCTTCCCATTTCTACTTTCTAAAATAGCAAAGTTCCTTGTTTTAGTTTATTCACCATTATGGTATTGATGTAGGTGATTCAATATTCCGAAAGCCTGTAAAAAGTAGTACATTAATGTGTAATATCTTCAATTCAATTTATAATATGGTTAGAGGTTATTGTGCTAATTATGCTTACTTAATTTTGGCTTGAAGCATTAGAAAATGGTAATTAGATTGGTAGGTTCTTGAGGAATAAAGATATTGGGCTACACAATATTGGCTAAAAATGTCAAGGTGTGTGCTAAATTGATTTAAAAAGAATTATTTGAACACGTCTATAATAGAACTCAATAAAAGAAACGATTATATATAACCCATTATTATGCACCACTAATGTTGTTTATTTAACCGCCTATATATAAATCCTAATCTTAATTCTTAGTTACGCCTTCTATTAATGTTCTCAAGTTTATCATGTAAATAAGATAAGATGTATATGTCTGTAGTCATATGTATTTATGCCTGTATGTAAATAGAGAATGTAAAATTGGTGATTTCAGCAATGGATGCAAAGATTTAAAATTTAAGACGCATGCATTGCATTGGATTGAGTTGAATTTTTGTCTTCATATATAACTATTTTGTTAAATATGATTATAAAACTATATTATTGCAATAATATATATTTTAATTTAGTGATTAAGGATGTACTTCAATAACCTTTTTTTTATCAACATGTTACATTTTGACTACTTTTAATAATATTACCAACGACCCGTCTTAAGTAAATATGGCTGATCAAATCACTCATTTATTATAGATACATAAATAAGCTGAAATGAACACTTAACTGTAACTTATTCACATTAATTTAATTTGTTTGCTTCTCATAGATAATAGGCAAACCTTCGATACACAAGTTAATCTCATTGGGTCGGGTCACAAGTGGCGTCCCTTGCTTGAGACTGAGAGAATCCCGTTTTCAAATCTCTTGTGCAGTAAGTAATCTCTTTCCTATTTTGTTTATCAAAAATCAAATATATATGCAGGTGATTATGTTTATATCGGACTATTAAATAATTAAAATTGATATTGGTAAATCATACAATTTGATAATATAGGCAAAACCAGAGACAGTGACCAAAGTTTGTGAAATTGTTAAGACGCAATTGGCTTTGTCAGCAGACTCTGTGGTTGAACCTGACTCTAAATTCTCAGCCCTTGGTGCCGATTCCCTTGATACGGTATATTTTCGTCATTGCTTAAATTTATTATTTCTACTAACCAACTTTATGACCAAACTCTTCAAAACAACGTGTTTAATGAGTTTATTGTTCTAATTATTATTAGATACGTCTTTGTGGTTTTATTTTCTTGCAACTATCATTTTTTGGTCATTAAATCCGACCTCAGCTATTATTATTATTATTATTATTATTATTATTATTATTTAATAAATATGATCAATTTGGCTGCTAGTTTTTTAATTTGCAAGAAAATAAAACAATAAGAACAATCCGTGCAAGAAAATCAAATTTTACATTGGACTGAAATGCAAATTTCTCAAACCACAAGGACCATTTTCATAACTTACGCCTATTGGTATAGCTAATGGCTTTAATGTTGATGCTTTGTAATAACTAATAAAACAATATAATACGCTTAGCTAAAATTTTGTATATTTGTTCTTGATTTGTATTTTGCATGAACAAGATGCACATAAATTATGACTATAGATTAAAAAATATATAATCGGATTGCAATCCAAGACTATGTATATAAGTTTATGTTTTTATTACTAGGTTACCTATTATAAGAACGTGATCTAAATTGGGCCATGAATGTTTGGATAAATATAGGTTGAAATAGTGATGACATTAGAAGAAGAATTTGGCATCAGTGTTGAAGAGGAGAATTCCCAAAACATAACTACGGTTCAAGAAGCAGCTGATCTTATTGAGAAACTCGTTGAGAAGAAAAACGCAACGGCTTGAATGTTATCATCATTATAATTGTATTTTTAGGCCACCCACTATATTAAACAATTCATTCATTTCAAGATTTTGTTTGGAATCGAGAAAAATCATAAGTATGATCAATTATTTGCTAGATTTTTGGATTTAATGAGACGTGTTTTTGGATCCATGGAATGTTATATTTTATGTATATTCCTCTTTGATAATCCTTTAATGGTCCGTTTTCCTACATTGTTCACATTATAAGCCGATAAAGATTGCTTAATTGATCAGAGATGGAATGATACTTAGTGAGATTGGTATTGGAATCGGTCTATTGTCTAAGGAACCGTATTTGAATTTTTGCAACAACTTCTTGACTTACTACATGACTTCCATTCTTGAAATTCTGTTAATAGATGGAGTGCAACTTGGGTGCTCTAGACTCTTTTTCGTTAGCGGAAGTTAGAAGACGTGTTGATGAGGTCATTCT